TGATTGTCAAAAACTAACATAAGAAGAGAAAAATCATACATGATAGGGTAATCTTTCGAGCAATAACATTAATGTAATTTAAATATTAGGAAGTTATTTGAATAAATTAAATGTAAAAAAATATGTGCAATATATGTAAATACATAAAAATTCAGTGGTATGTAGGTAAATTCATTATTATAAAAAAAAAAATCCATATTAGCAGCACATATTTACAAAAAGTTCAGAAGTTCAAGCATACCATGCTGAGTGCAGATTATTACATATCACTTGGATACATACGAAATATTTGGATTATTAGTTCCAGATGTTTTGTCTTCTGCAATCAGCACAAATGTTAAAGAATCAAACTGGATGTCCACAAACCATATAGGGAAAGGTGTTAGCTATTGTTGCTATAGCGTCAATAAGCCACTAGCAAGATTCCTGCGCACTTCCACTTCGTTTCATGTACTTCCCCAAAGAATCATTCTTACTAATTCGATTTAGAAACTACAACTAAAAATTCCAATTTAAGCACTTAAAAGTTAAAACCATTATTGCAACAAGAAATTATAATTAAGATTCTAATATTTGTCCAGCTGAATTTAGAAATGTATTTGTATTTAATGTAAAATTAGAAATGGAAGTGAAGTAATGAAACAAATATATACATGGCTGGTGATTTGAAATGTGCGACGTGGATTTCAGAAGGCATGCCAAAATACTTGCTTAGAAAAAATAAAACTATAAAATATTAGAGAGAGTAGGCATTGAAGAAAAAATATCTGGAAATTGCAGCATGTTTAGTTTACTTGATTTCTGAATTCTTTTTTTTTTGCTCTTAGGCTATTTAACTAAGTAGTTTAACAATGGTGATAAAAACAAGGAGAATGAAAGTTGCCTACAAATAAATTTATAGTTTGAAGAATAAATGAAATCCACGCAATCTCATAGCAAGTTCAGAATTAAAAAGAAATAAAAAAATAGAGAAAAGAGATGGCCCTTGGGTGCCTATTCCACCTGTTTCCTGTCGAGTTGAACATATTTGGCAACTGCACCATATGCAAAATTATCAATGTTTACAAAATTTGAACCAGCAAAATCCAAAACTGCCCCGTCCTCAAGGCAAATTCCAACATGGCCGATGTAAGGAGCCAGCCATGAGATAATTGGAAGGGGAGTCCAAACTATGCAGCAAGGAAACCTTCCCTTCTTTGGATTCATTTCATCAAGCGGCCACAGATCATTGAGCGACCTACTGAAATTCCCATCTTCACAATCAACACTAGCAGCTTTAAGCTCCATCAAGGAAACTGGGTCCAGGGATATCAAACTCTCTACAAATTACTCAACATGATTATGCAATACAGTCCAAGATGCTGCTTAAGCATGGAACAAACACTTGGCACTGAAAGAACAAATAAACCATAAGAAATTAATTAATCAAACGCACTGAAGATTCCATATCCTGAACGAACATAAGAAGAATTGGTTGATTACAAGCTTTAAAACAGTATTACTTCAGAACATGAAGACAGTCTCCAAATTCAAGAGTGAATTTTCCTTCTAAATCCATTGGGCAGGTTATTGCAGTATAATAAAAAATAGAACCACGTATTGGCACAATCGTCACTCTTTGCAGTTTTGGCAAATTCAACGTGTTTAATGAATCTTGCAGTATGCCGACCACAAATTTGCAAATGAAAATTAATAAAGTGCACCTAACTGTTCTTTGGGACATAAACTCATTACTGCACACCAAAAAAATGCATTGGACATCAAGTCGCAAATTTTATAAAGTAGGGGCCATGGATTCAGTAAAAGGAAGAATTCCTAACATAGACCCAAAAATAACATATAAATCTCACAAGATACTTTAGCAAAATATATTTTAAATGTACAAGTAAATAATGAAAGAATTTCACATAACAATCTAGATTATCATCACCAATTCGCCACCATCATGTTTTGCCTTATCCAAGTTACTTGAGCTAAGCATTATGAATTGTTCATTAACACTTAACACGGTTGACCGCCCGTGGTTAAATTGAAGCATTCATAAGTTCATCTGCACTTCTTGGCATATTATCCTTGGTCGTCCTTTTCTCTTTCATATTAGTTTCATGGTGGTTCTACCCATGATTTAGAAGGCCAAAATTAAAAATTATGTATTCACTAATTAATGTATACTCAAAATTTTTATATATAATTATAAATCCCTTACATAATGTTAATTTACATAATTCTAATTTCTCGCTTTAAAATCCTTGTCGCCTAATATGTGAATGTGAGCTGTCAATAGCATTCTTGAGGGTGCATTAATTTGAAAATCAATGACAAGTCCATCCATGACAAATTTAAGAGGATAGAAAATAAAAATTGAACCTTGATAATACATCATTCATAATGTCTTCATTTTCTAATATGAATAGTTGACCTCTATATATATTTCACAGTCGATGCAAGTGAAGGCAATGAGAAAGATGACCAACCAACACAACGTCACTCATCATCATACGTAATGAGCATTGAAGCACCTTGCTCATCGTTGAAATCACACAAACTTTGTCCTTTTGCAAAACAGATTGCACCGATACATTCAAGACACTAAATTTATCAAGGAAGAGCA